GGGGGTAGGGATAGGGAGGAAAATGGGTGGTAATTGTGCGACTAGGGCTAGGATAGCTGTATGCAGGGTATGGGGAGGATGTATGGGGCTAGGCACTGGGCTCTGGGGCTAGGGCAGACTAGATGGGTGAATAGGGATAGAATGATGGGCGATACAAATACGGAAAAATACGGAAATAATAGCAGGAATGCTAGGATTGGTATACTGGGTACTGTGGGGGTGGATTGGTAGGGGAAATGGGGTGATCTGGGGGTGTTTTGGTAACTTTGTGAGTTTTGTGATTCAGAGTGAATGAATTGCAGGGGTAGGTGTTGTTTTGATGGAATTAGCTGATAAAAGGGTAACATGTGGCCCAAAGTTGGCGACATGAAGGATGACGTTTTCGGCGGTTCTTTGGCTTTGATAAATAAGTATAAATGTATGTGATAGACATATATCGGATTTGGACAAATCCGTCCATGCATTCCCAAGATATGGCAAAAACAAGTGGAGGGATATTCAGGGTTGGGGGTCAGCTATGCAGGGTACATTATTTAGCGGTTGGATACCGTTCATTTTGGGTGGGATGAGTGTAATATCATCCATAGAGCATGTATCAGCCATCAGAACAACAATATTTGGCCATATGGGCCTATGGTACACTGAGAAAGTGAGGGGGGGAGGAGGAGCATATGGATCTGGGCCCTATCTTGGATGTATACATGGTCTATATTGTCTGGGGGATACCTGGATAAGGTAGATATACCCTTGGGTGAATTTATCATGGATCCAAACCAATCAGAATGTCCCTCTGTGGGTATAGGGACAGGGAGGGGTGATTCTGGGCCACAGTGCCACTGTATATTATTATGGGCGGAATTTTGACCGTTTTCAGCTCATGTGACTTCATGATAAATCATATAAAACATATAGAAAGATATTGAGAGACTTCTATAGCTACTAAATACACATACAAGTTGTATAGAACATGTTCTATGAGGATGAGCAGGAAAACAGGGCATATTTCGACTATATTCCAATATATATCCGCCAAAATACCGTGTAATGTTCTGGAAATTGGCGTGATCACTGATGAAACATATTGGAACATTTCTGGGTACATGGATTGGCCCAGACCAGCCTGCATACATAGCCAGAGACGAATATATTCTGTTTTTGAGTGTTTTTCTGAGGTGTCTCACCAAGTTTTGTGTATCCCAATTATTTGGGAGGCCTAAAAATTCGTCTGAGAGCTGGGATATCATCTATGGGTGGGCCCAAGTTCAGATCCAAAAGACTCTGGGTGAATAGCTATCATACTCATTTGATAGTGAAACTGGTGGTCATAGTTGTACAAGTGAGATATGCATGTTTACTTCCCAAAACACATTCCTGCCCTCACATCACTATAAAACCAATATGACAGCTAACCACCCAGAATCTTTTGGATCTGAACTTGGGCACACCCATAAATGATACCCCAGGTCTCAGACGAGTTTTTAGGCCTCCTAAATAATTGGGATACACAACACCTCAGAAAAACACCCTAAAACCGAATATATTCGTCTCTGGCTATGCATGCAGGCTGTTCTTGGGAAATACATGTACCCAGAAATGATCTAATATGTCATAATAGTACCCATACCGCTTTCCAGAGAATTCTACGGTGATTTGGAGGATATATATCGAATTATATTCGAAATATGCCCTGTTTTCCTGCTCACCCTCATAGAACATGTTCTATACAACTTATAGGTGTATTTAGCAGCCTTATAGCTTCTGTAATCTCTTCCTATATGTTTTATATGATTTACAATGAAGTAACATGAGCTAAAAACGGTCTAAATTCCGCCCATAATAATATCCAGTGGCACTGTGGCCCAGAAACACCCCTCCCTGTCTCTACACTCACAGATGGACATTCTCGTTGGTTTAGCTTCATGATAAATTCACCCAATGGTATATCTATCTTACCCAGGTATCTCCCAGAGAATATAGACCATGTATACATCCAAGATAGGGCCCAGATCCATGTGCTCCTCCTCCCCCCCTCACTTTCTCAGCATACCATAAGCCCATATGGCCAAATATTGTCTTTCGTATGGGTGATACATGCTCTATGGATGATATTACACTCATCCCACCCAAAATGAACGGTATTCAACCGCTAAATAATGTACCCTGCATAGCTGACCCCCAACCCTGAATATCCCTCCACTTGTTTTTGCCATATCTTGGGAATGCATGGACGGATTTGTCCAAATCCGATATATGTCTATCACATACATTTATACTTATTTATCAAAGCCAAAGAACCGCCGAAAACGTCATCCTTCATGTCGCCAACTTTGGGCCACATTTTACCCTTTTATCAGCTAATTCCATCAAAACAACACCTACCCCTGCAATTCATTCACTCTGAATCACAAAACTCACAAAGTTACCAAAACACCCCCAGATCACCCCATTTCCCCTACCAATCCACCCCCACAGTACCCAGTATACCAATCCTAGCATCCCTGCTATTATTTCCGTATTTTTCCGTATTTGTATCGCCCATCATTCTATCCCTATTCACCCATCTATCTGCCCTAGCCCCAGAGCCCATGCCTAGCCCCATACATCCTCCCCATACCCTGCATACAGCTATCCTAGCCCTAGTGCACAATTACC